GGACAACATTGGATCATTCAAAGATCCTCACTGAACTTCTGGAGTGAGTTTGCTGCACTGAAAGTAAAGGGGCCGAATAATATTGCACGCCCCACGTTTTTTATTTGTTAAAAAAGTTTAAATTATCCAATAAATTTCGTTCCACTTCACGATTGTGTCCCATTTGTTGTTGATTCATGACAAAAAATTTTAATTTTATATCTTTATGTTTGAAGCCTGAAATGTGGCGAAATGTTGAAAGGTTTCAAGGGAGCCGAATACTTTAGCAAGGCACTGTATACTAAACTTCCACTGACTGAAATCAGTCAACACTGTTCGAACTCAAAGATTGAAGAATTCGATCTCTTTTTCCTGATTACTTTAATCTATAATGTTGTTTTTGTGTGTATAGGTATGGTCGGCACTAGATCATATGTAGAATCAGGACGAAACCGGAAGTAACAATCCTACTTTCTAATTAGATTTAGACTAATAAGTCCTTAAGTGGTGACTGGTTAAGTTTTAGGTGTCTTAGAAAGATGGTTAAGGTTAGGGTTGAGAGTGGGTTGGGGTTATTTTTTGGGAATGGCTGGTTAAGTTTAGGCAAGAATACGTAGTTGGTTATATTTACTTCCGCTTCCATCCTGTTTCCGTATATGATCTAGTGCTGACCGTATAGGTACAATAAAACAATTTTTCATCCGCATGTTAGAAACTTGTAAAGTTTTCATTCCTATAATTATCAGAACAGAATCATTATTTATGTATTTATTGTTTATTTGGTTGGGACAGTACATGTTAAGCCTAGCATACATCGACAGAGTAACTCGAGACAACTAGTTGCAAGGCGGCTTCTGGCAACTGAGAGTAGATGATGGAGATGATCAGTTGCCGAAATAGGTCGATGTGAGCGCTCTTACAACTGGAGAGATAAACAGTCGATCTCCAGTTTCAGTCAGTTGCCCGTGTTCTACTTTTTGGCAACTAGTTGTCCTCAGATCCGGACATATCACCCGATGTGCGCGCTCCAACAACATGTGTGTATTGCGCGCCCTCTACACTTTATGTCAGAAAACACACTGTAGTTGAGGCCAGTTGCTGTCGATGTATGCGCTGTTATTCCCGAGACTGTTCTGCTACTAGGAGTTTCCCGTTTTCGCCAGATTGTCGATGTGTGCGGGGGAGCAACTCATATGCGATGGATATAATCAGTTGCCAGTCCGATGTACGCTAGGCATTAATGAACACATAACTCCGGATTGTAGCCATATGCCGCGTTCAGACCGGATCATGCATTGCGTCGGCTTTCAATGCAAAGTCAATGGTGACGCGCGTTCGAGCGTCAAAATACATGAGTCTCGGAATGCACGAACGGACTGCTCAGTAGAGACGCACGGACTGCGTGGGAAAGTCAAAGGGGAGGAGCAGGAGCGGAAAGTCGACGCACGCAGGAGATAAATATTGCTGAACGTTTCGTCGGACGCTCGTGCAGCAACCAATCTGCGAGCCGCAAAGTGGCCATGGGGACATTAGGGGTCTGAGCGAGCAGACTGAACATACTGTAAACAGCCAAAACATTAGCCACACCAGGACTAAAACCAGGGATAACAATAGGGGACATTGTGCTTGTGAACATATGCGGTTTTTTTCTGCGTTTGTAAATTCCTCCTGTGTGAGATTAATAAAGTACATCTTATCTTATATTATCTTATCTTCATGCTCCCGTGTCTTTATGCAACTGCTTCGAGCCTGTTCGCCGATGCGGAAGTACTATTTAATAATAAAATAAACTTATTGCGCACCTCCGTGAACACATACTACTGTTATATAAAGTCTGTGGAAGGTCTCTGAAAACAGACAAGCTGCTAAGCTGCATTATTAGAGAAGATCTTCACACAAGAAGCCGCTAGCTTAACTCTACTTCCGCCACTTCCGGCGCGCCACCGCTGGCCAGGACTTCTGGTCTAAAGACCTTTGCGTCTGAAAACTAGAGAATGTGCATCTGGTGGGCGAGGCTACAGCATTCCAGCATTAGGCTAATTTGCAACTGTTGTCCCACATTCGCACTTACAAACACACACTCACTCACCCTGAACTATTGCACATGTTTTTAGTGGTAGGGGAAACTGGTGTACCCAGAGGAAACCGACGCAGACACAGGGAGAACATGCAAACTTCACTCAGAAAGGCCCTGTTCCGACCGGGATTTGAATCCAGAACCTTCTTACTGAGAAGCGAGAGTGCTATCCACCTAGCCACCGTGCCACCCCCATTATAAGAATAATGGATGATTAGATGTAAATTATCATTATTACTTTACCTGCAATATTGATAATAACAGCAGGTAAAGTGACAAGTGGATTATTATAACAGGTGAATGGCACGTGTACAGACTCAGCAGTTCTCATTGTACAGTCTGACAGCAGTTGGAAGGAAAAACCTGTGGAACCTCTCCTTCACACAGCAAGGGTGGAACAGTCTGTCACTGAAGCTGCTCTCCAGAGCAGACGGAGTGTCCTGCAGGGGGCAACAGTCATGGTCCAGCATAGATGTTAGTTTGTCCCGGACCCTCCTGTCCCCCACCTGCTGCACTGTGTCCTGGGAACAGCCCAGGACTGAGCTGGACTTCCTGATGACCTGTTCCAGCTGATGCCACCACCACAGAGTCATAGAAGCACTTGCCGCTGCACTCCAAAGGATCTGAGCCTCCTCAGCAGGTAGAGCCTCCTCCCTTCTCAGTAGGTAGAGCCTTCTCAGCAAGAAGAGCCTCCTCAGCAGGTAGAGCCTCCTCCCTCCTCAGCAGTTAGAGCCTCCTCCCTCCTCAGTAGGTAGAGCCTCCTCAGCAGGTAGAGTTTTGGTTCAAATGAACGCCCAGGTACTTGTAAGAGTCCACTCTCTCAATTTCCCTTCCCTGGGAGTTCACTGGAAATCCACCTACATCTCCTGGGTCTCCTGTTGATGAGGAGGTGGCTCATGTCCTTGGTCTCCTGTTGATGAGGAGGTGGCTCATGTCCTTGGTCTCCTGTTGACGAGGAGGTGCCTCATCTCCTTGGTCTCCTGTTGATGAGGAGGTGGCTCATGTCCTTGGTCTCCTGTTGACGAGGAGGTGCCTCATCTCCTTGGTCTCCTGTTGACGAGGAGGTGGCTCATGTCCTTGGTCTCCTGTTGACGAGGAGGTGGCTCATGTCCTTGGTCTTCTGTTGACGAGGAGGTGGCTCATGTCCTTGGTCTCCTGTTGACGAGGAGGTGCCTCATCTCCTTGGTATCCTGTTGACGAGGAGGTGGCTCATGTCCTTGGTCTGTGTTATGGTGCATTCAGACCGCAAACGCTCAAACGCTGCAGGCCCGCTCACCAGACGCGCATTCTCTAGTTTTCAGACGCAGAGGACTTTACACCAGAACGTCCTGACGCGAGCCGGAAGTACCGGAAGTAGCCGGCCGGCTCTGATGCTAACAGAGCTTTTTTTTTTTTTTTTGTATTATCAAACGGCATTTCCGCATCGGCGAACACACTCAAAGCAGTTGCAAAAAGTCACGTGAGCATGACAACGCATATATTCACAAGCACACAGTCCCCCATTGTCAACCCTGGTTTAGTCCTGGTTTAGTCCTGATGTAGCTCCTGTATTGGCTGTTTACAGTATGTTCAGTCTACTCGCTCAGACCACCAATGTCCCCATGACCACTTTACAGCTCTCTGATTGGTCGCTGCACGAACGTCCCGAGGAAAGGTTGAGCAAAGTTTATCTCCTGTGGGCGTCCATTTTCCGCTCCTGCTCCTCCCCTTCGACTTTCCCGCCAAGTCCGTGCGTCTCTACTGAGCGGTCCGTGGGTGTGAGCCGAGCGGTCTGTGCGTTGTGACGCTCGAAACCGTTAGTCTTCTGTACTCTGCGTCATCAGAGGTCCCCTGGGGAGCCCCCACACTGCAGGGCACTAACACCCCTTATCATATGACTTGGACCATACGCGCTCTCTGATTGGCTGATTACCGGTCTGATATTTTCCCATCTCAGACCGTAACCATGACAATTGGTCCGAACAGCGCGTATCACATTTTATATCTTTCCTCGGACCGTTACCATGACAATCAGTCCGCAGCGCGTATCACAATTGATTCCTTTCCTGAGTTTCCTCGGTAAAAAAGAAATAATGGGCGTATTCTCCCAGTGAATTCTATTATCCGGACGAGTTTGACGAGCCAGAGGAAGAAATTACAGAAAATAACGAAGAAAAAATAACTAACAGACAAGATGAGACCAGAAAGCTAAAAACACGATTAGGAAAACCAAGTCGGAGATCAATATTTGCATAAATTAAAAATACTCATATAATAAAACATTTATTAACCTCGTTTGCTCGGTTTATAAGCCGTTAATAATAAACTGAATGTTCCCTGTCAGCTGAGGACGAGTTGGTAACATAGAGTAACATTTCCTGTGTCGCTCAGGTGAACTGAGGCTGCAGTACCACAGGTGGGCCACTAGGCTGACGTCTGGCCAAGCAGCAATACCCAATCCTGTTAATATTATATCTGATACATAATATATCAGTGAGTTACATGCACTAACCCCACACTGCAACACAAGCAGTCAAGTTATAATTCTCCTGCTTCTTTAAGTAAAGGAATATTCCCATCATATTAGATGATGCCATTAGCTGCCAGGCACTGATACAAACTGGACTGGACTCTTCACCCTGACCTGGTGACCCCTGATTGGCTGTAACATTGATCCTGCACAAACATCTTTGGCATTGATCCTGGACTACTTGGTGGCTCAGATCATGTGACTGGTTCCACAGATGCAAAATACAGCATACTCATCATTTGTAAGATCTGAATTGATGATGTGGAAGAACCTTGTACGACAACATTCAACCAATGAAAGCCGTGAATGGTGGGAGGGGGTGTGGCTTAGTTCTGGTTTATATGTGATACACACATCAGTTTGTGTAATGTGTGTTTCCCAGTGGAGTGTTGTGTTCCACATCTGTCTCATCAAAGTGTTTACTGTCGCACAACGATGGAGACTCCAGGCCTCACTGCCCTCTGTGCTCTGCTGCTGCAACAAGTGCATGTGGTGAGCTGGATCATACACACACACACACACACACACACACATACTGTACGCACACACAAATTCACACACTCACATGCACATACACACAGATATACACACATACACACGCAAATATACGTACATACACACACACACTCTCACGTTCATATACACACACTAACTAACATTTACCTGCACGTACACACATTCATATATACACACCCACACACACATATTCACATACAGTACACACACAATAGAATATGCATACACATACCCATACACCTGAACACACACACTCACTCACACACACACACACACACACACACACACACGATGCAGTGAGTTTGACATTTCTCTGCTCTTTCAGGTGGCCTGTGGCAAAATCCTGGAGGAGACTTATCGGAAGTGGCTGCGATACAAAGACGACTGTTTTCAAATGATAAAAAACGAAATTCTTCCTGAAGGTAAAAACGTGTGCGTCTCGAGTCCGACTTATAAAATAAAAGTGTTTGAGTCGGACCTGGTTGAGTTTGCAATTACATAGAACTTACATATAGTGAGCATGCGACTGTTTGGACACCTGTTGGTCTGTAGATCAAGAAAATATAATGAAGCTCCTGTTGACACCCTGACTTTTTAACCAGGTCAGCAATCATTAAGATCGATATCTGTTTTCCAAAGGGACCTGATCAAGAGGTCACGGCAAATATCAGCGTTTGAACTTTACAAATAACCCTTTAGACCAGCCTGTCTGTCAAAGGCAACGTGTAGAAGGAGGGAAGGAAGGAGGAAACTTACAGGGAAAGAACATCTGAAGGATTATTTAACAATCGATGAGAAAGATCAAGATTAAAAGAGGATTGCTTTCAAAAATGAGTAATATTTTTTCCTGGGCAACCCTTGTGAATTTAGTTTGCAGTACCACGGGCGCCCCTGTGCCCATGGGTGGGACAGCTAGAAGCTAGTAATACCCTATTCAGTTATTATTATAGATCCATGGTGGTTTCATTTCTAGTTTTACTTCCTGTCCTGTTCTTCTTGGTTGTGTTTCACCTGTGTCTCTTTGTGTCTGTACCTGTGCCCATTCCATTGTCTCTGTGTTTGCTCCTGGTTCAGTTTGGATTTTGGTGTTTGTTTTTACCTTGGATTATTATCTATTATCATTAAATCATAATTTTTGGTATTTTGCGTCCTTCCTTCATCTCGCCCCACAAGACAGATAGTTGAAAACAATGAGTGACCTCCTGCAGAATCTCAAACCGGACGTAAAAATATCACGCTAAACTTCAAATCATGTGATTTATTTGGTGAAAGAAACACACAAGAGTAAGAATATAACAACATTATCCAATTTATTGTTATTTACAGTTGCAACTGAGAACAGGAAAACTGTGGCTCACCGGAGATCCCTCACCTGTTGATCTGAATCAGTTGGCACGCATCCAAACAGATCTGCCACACTATTCAGAACTTATCATTTAATGGATGATAAGGAGGTAGAAAATGTCAAGAGATGACCTTTGCTGGTGGCATTTCAACGCATGCGCAAGAAATAAAATGTTATGCTCAACTACTGTATGTCCCGTGCACAGCCTTGCTTTGTTTTGAACTGATACTAAATATGATTTTCTTTTTGAGGTGGTCTGTTCTGTAACAGGACATTTGACCATTATGCCTGCTGGCCCGACACAGCAGCTGGGAGCATGGTCAACATCTCATGTCCTTTCTACCTGCCCTGGTTCGACAAAGGTACCTCCCAGAATACTGATGTTATTCATGATATTTGTCACAATTTATATCATTAAAAGCCGTTTCATCTGTTATTACTATTATTATTCAGGACGCAGTGGTTTCCTTTTTTTTAAATGCTTTAATTTTAATGTTTCAAACCCATACTGCATTAGCCTGGTCTTACCACACCATCGTACGAATTTAATTCAATACTACGGTCTGGATTTGCTCCATTAAGCTTTAGAGGATTAACACATTTTGCAGATTTGGATCTGAGTTTACCGGGACATATGTAATGCGTCCGAGTGAGTGAGGCATTTAGCATTTAGCCTAGCATCTCCTTTGCGCTAACGGACGCCATGGGGAGTAGAGCCAACATCGTCTTGCTCCGGTTTCAATTTCTTGATATTTGGAGCCAAACCAGAACAGATTACTTTACTATCGTATTCTCCACCAAACTACAACCAGCAAATTTGGCGCAAACTCTTGACGTTACCGACACCTTCCTACAACACCCGCCTCCTCTGCTCTCTGATTGGTCGAAGGGGATTCAACCGAGGAAACTGCAGCCACTGGGATCGGACCCAGACGTGCATGGAGGAAATGACAGTTAACCAGAGTTTACGGATGGCTAAGGACAAGCTAATACTGTAGATATTACTCACCAGATTCCAATCAGATCAGCTCTGTATCTGTACTTCCCGTTGGAATTTTGAGATGTTTCTGAACTAGGAAGCCTCTCCCACTTTGCAGCTGCGAGGTTTTAGAAAGGTCGTTCACTAATGATAACTTGCAGGATGAGGGTGAGAGGTTGTGGGCACAGCAACAAGCCCATGATTTAATGTGTTTTAAAACTTGAACCGAGCACATACTGTATTTAGATCGAGTGAAATAAAACATTATTCATTGTCCTCTCAGGCGGAAGTCATCTGTTTGGCCAAAGATCAGGTTCAGATTCAATGTGAAATGACATTGTTTATACATAAAACCAGCCAAAAAGTGCAGTAATTAAACCAGGAAAAACTGCTCCCACTGCGGTCTGCTGTCGTTGTGTCCTTGGCCCAGCTCTGATTGCCACCCCCCCATTTCAGAAATGGACTAATAAAGGGGTAGAAAATGAATGAATGAAATTGGGAATATTTACAATTAACTGCGAGGAGACTTCGGAAATATTTGGAAATATTTTGCGAAGATCTGTAGAAGAGACTTTGGGAACATTTGGGGTGATGCCTGAGTTTCTTTGGAATGACTGGTTTGTTGTTCCGGCAGTGTCCCACGGTGTGGTTCGCAGACACTGTGGCCCTAATGGCCTCTGGGAGGAGGATGATTTCGGGCAGGTGTGGAGGGACAAGAGCCAGTGTGAGGAAGAAACAGAAGTCACTGCTCAAGAGGTATCAGTCCAAAAGGAAATCCGTAAAAACTTCCTTCATTGTCCAGTCATGTGATTCTGACTATCCACTGCACCACCACGGCACAGTGGATAGCACTCACGCTTCACATCAAGAAGGTCCTGAGTTTGATTCCATCTCCAAATAAGGCCTTTTTGTGTGGATTTTGCATGTTCTCCCCATGTCTGCTTGGATTCCCTCCTTATACTTAACTTGTGTTCCCAGAAACTAAAAACATGTACGATCTGATGTATTTACTGCAGCTGTTCATTAAGACACTTTCAGACAAAATAGTGAAAATCATTTATAGTTCAAGTCGTTTATAAAAGGGAAATAGTTTTATAAATATAGTTTTAAACAGGCATAAATAATTTGCAGAAGTTTGGAAAAGGGTAACCTCAAATGAGCTGATTTTATGTGTAAAGAGTGTGTGTTACAACCGAAGAAGTGTCCCCAAAGAGACAGAGGACGGTGTAGCACAGTTTATTAACAGAACATGGAGGGTTTGGACTTGATCTGGAACAGGTTGTAGTAGGAGCTGGAGATGGAATGGGGCTGGACCGGAGCAGGTGTGAAACAACAGAGGACGGGTGGGGTGATCTGTTGGCAGGTAAAAAAATAAACATCAGACAAAGAATAAAGAATTTAAAAAAGCAGCAGGCCTGAGGTGTGGTCTCACGGTTGTAGACTGATGACGGGCAGAGGACTGATGAAATGTCCAGGCTTAAGTTCTGTGGTGATGAGTAACGTACTGCACTGTTTGTAAGTGAAATTGAGAGATGAAGACTCATTTCCTTTTTTGTTTTGCAGTTATGGATAAATCAACTGATGGTGAGTTTTAGGACGCTGTACACCGTTGGATACTCATTATCACTTTTCACACTGACTATGGCTCTTATCATCCTTCTAAGCTTTCGGTAACTGATAATTTTTTTAATATGATGCCAATTTGTTTTTGTAAAAATAATCCTCTTTGTTGTTACTGATAGAAAACTCCACTGTACCAGAAATTACATCCATGCCAACCTGTTCCTGTCGTTCATTCTGAGAGCTGTGTCTGTGATAGTCAAAGACATGATGTTGGAGAGGCACTGGGGACGAGAAATCATCAAACACTCAGACGTTACTCACTTGTTAAGTCATCAGGTAAATGACACAGCCTTTGTCTTTTTCTCTTTTTCTTTTACTTTCTGTTATGGCCACTTTTTTATTGTTCATAATTATATCCTGCTCAGACTATATTTCTAACCTTAACATGTCTTTTGCGCATTTCTGTGTTTTGCACAATTTGAGTGATTCTAACTGTGCCAAATGTGACATCTACATTTCTCCAGCGTGAGATCAATAAAATCTTATCTTATCTTAAGGGGTAAGGGGAGGTTCATGCTTCAAGGAGGAGTTTTAATGTCATCTTGGAACACACTGTTTTGGAAAAACTACCTGTTGAATTAGTTTAGCCGATATGGATTTACCAATATATTAGTCCTAATGGTTTGCAAACCAAATCGTTTGGTTGAAAAAACAAGGATAGCTTTGAACTACTATAATCATCTACTGAGGCACTGTGTGAAAGCCTGATCTTGTCAGATGTCAGAAGCTAAGCAGGGAAGGGTCTGGTTAGCACTGTGATGGCAGGCTGAAGATGGAATGTGCTCGAGTTTGGTGTGATTTTAGATTGGTTGTATTAACCAAAAGGTTAACAAGACACACGATTAGAAGACAACCAAAAAACATGGAACACTGGTGTGTTCTATCCTGGTGCACACTGGAGAAGTCTTGCACGGTTTTTCCAATGTGGTTTTACTGCAAATGGCACATAAATTCTTAAAACTGTTAAATGTAATCTGTTTTTAGAGCGTACACTGTTGAAAGTGAAGCACGCCAATTGAGAAATAAATCCATGCCTCCATGACATGGTAGCAGCATGAAGCAGGTTTTTCCAACCACGACCAATGACAATGTCCCAATGTGGCCTGTCTCGAACAGGCCACATTTTTGTCCTCCTTTTTGTCCTCCTGCGGTGTTTTCTACTGAGAAACATATTACAATTCTCATGGTATTAGCATCTGGGTCGACATATATTTTGTAAAGCTCCCCACTGGTCGCATGGGAACATGTCAGGGACATAAGTGTCTTGGTTGGATTGGAGAGCTGGTGACAGCACAACTCTGAAAGAAGCATTTTTCTTTGTCCAAATGTCAAACTTTTGACAGTTTCCAGGCGCTACATTTCAAACTATGCACCCTCTTTGGAGCGTTGTGATGTGAAATGTTTGTGATATTTTTAGTTCCCTCATATGTAGCTAACATGAAGGTTTATAAGAACACATGTTTGGACGTTGGGATTATCAAATGGCTGTACGTTTGTATTTTAGTATTAATTTTAGATTTGTATTTGCAATATAAATGATTCATTACTATACATTTTAGAGTTAATTTAGGCAATTCTAAATTGGAAATCAACAGTTTGCAAAAGTGGTGGACAGCGCCTCCTCTGGACAATATCTTCCAGATATTATGCAATAAATATATTGACCAATTTCCTTTTGCCAATTTTGAATTGTCAACATTAAAGCCACAATAAAATTCTTATATTCACTAAGAATGTATTATGCATATTGCAAATTCAAATCTAGATAAATCCTAACATGACAAAATCCATCTGACACATACACACACATTCTCTGATAACCAGTCTATTAAAGGGGCACTTTTCTATTTTTGCATGTTTGACCCAGGGCCTGGATGGGTATCAGCATGGGGTCTTCAGTTTCAGACCCCAGTCACAGCTCAATCAGATTATGACATCCATTACTCAACATTTTAGGGATTGTTGGTGAAACTCGCATTTTATTTTCTAGGCTACGATTGGCTGCAGGATTGCCCAGGTCATGATGCAGTACTGCGTGTTGGCCAATCACCACTGGTTCTTCGGAGAGGCCCTTTATCTATACTCAGTGCTCATTTCATCTGTGTTCATTGATAACGATAAATTATTACTCTACATATGTTTTGGATGGGGTAAGAATCAGCCGTGTGACGTCTAACCCTAATCTTTGTGTAGCACTTGTCGTTGCCAATCTATTGTCTGTTTTGTGTCAGGAACGCCAGTGCTCTTTGTGGTTCCCTGGATCGTGATGAAGTTTTTAAAAGAAAACAACGAGTGAGGCTGTTACATCATATCGAACACATTCCTCTCACAGAAAGTCTAAAAACAGCTCAAACTTTCCTCCTCAGATGTTGGGCATGTAACGAAAACATGAATTACTGGTGGATAATCCGATTTCCCATTCTTTTTGCTTCTCTGGTAAGATACATATGTTTCCAGAATGATGCTTTATCACCAGAACTCCCAGAGCAGTTGCGGAATTTTCGCCAGCCATGAGACAATGAGAGACACAGACAGTAGTTCTATCAGCATTTTATTTGCAGAAGGTTTGAGCCAGGTCTGTCAGGTCCGAAGCCGCTCCTGCAGAAGTCTGGCTCGGTCTGGCTCCTGTAGAGGTCTGGTCCATGGCAGCTTCCAAGTCCAGCCCCTGGAGTCTGATCCAGAAGTCCTGCAGAAGTCTGATCATCATGGAGATTCTAGAGGCCTTGAATGCTGATGTACACACGACTTTGGAAGAAGCTAAACATATGGCTTTATCACAGACCAAATTCCATATTTTTAAACAGTTTTCAATATTGATTCGTAAACTATAATATTCAGACATTCATGCAGTCAGTTTGGGGGTTTCTAGTTTTGTAAGTGTAATTACTTAACGTGTTGGTCTACATAACTTTGTGACTTTCTGTCTGTATATGTAGTTTCTTTCTGTGTCAATTTGTGTGTACCTCAGTCTGTAGAGGTTACCATAGCAACGTGATGTATAGCACTTATTGAGAGTGAGTGAAAGTAAAAAAAAAAAAAACATTATAAATTACGTGTATTACATTTGCTGCATTACAAAAAACGTTTTGGGTGGTTTCTCAGAATTAGATTTGAATGAGAGCGGTGGAAATGGCGGCTCTGCGAGTTCTCGTTTCATGTGTGGTAGTCCTAGTGTTAAAGGTGGTTCAGGATGGTATTCCAACCTATTGGCGGTCTTAACTTATAAAAAACATCATCGTTATCACCATGGTAATGACCTGTGAACGTGCCCCCCCACCATCTCCCCATCTCCCCATCTCCCCATGACATTATTAAGCATCCCTGACACCTCACATTCTCTTGTTCTTGAGCTTGAGTGCTGACATTATTATTCATTTGTCTAACTATTATTCAGGCTCACCTTTTTCACAGCCCATATTTGAGGCTCGAAACAACTCTTCATCTTGAAACATTACTGGGACATTCACGGGTCTCAAACTGGGATTGTCCGACTCCTATTGGCCTAAAACAGAAACCTTGTCTTCCTGGTGTGTGTGTGGGTGTCTGTGTGTGTGTGTGTGTGTGTGTGTGTCTGTGTGGGTGTGGGCGTGTGTGTGTGTATTTCTGTAGATTCAATTCGGCTAAATGCTCACTGTGCGTCTCTGTTTCATGTCATTTTGGTTCATGTTGCCTGTGATTTCACTGTCAAACGTGTTTAAACAACACTCTCTGGTCTTATTTGTTGAGCACGTATCAGCAGAATGATTGACAGCTGGGAGGACCAATAGTCTTGATGATCCACCCGGGAGTAGAAAATCCTCCTTTATGCCTTTAAACATTATATCAAAGTGTAAAAACCAACTAGAATTTTACTGTTTGGAGATTTGTAAACGTACATTTGTCGGCTCGTTGTGTGATCGCTCGTATTCCGTTTTTTTGCTATATAAAAATTGGTTTGTTTAAGTTTTATAAGTAACAACGGGGTAAACACTTGGTCTCTCCTAAACAGAAACTTTGCTCATTCAGGATATACTGTACTCATGAATATTCGTCTAATATCTGCTTTGTATACCAACAGATTAACTTTGTGATATTTCTGAAAGTCATCAATGTGATTTTTTCAAAGCTCAGAGCTGGTAATCAACAAGGATATCCAGACTATAAGCTCAGGTGGGTTGGTCTGAGCGAGATGACATATTTTATGCATTTTGATTATTACTAAGTTTGCCTGTATGGTGTCTCTCTGTCAGGCTCGCCAAGGCTACTCTCACCCTAATCCCGTTGTTTGGAATCCATGAGATCATTTTCATCTTCGCCACAGATGAGCAAACAACAGGCTTGCTGCGCTATATCAAAGTATTTTTCACACTTTTCCTCAATTCATTTCAGGTAACTTCAAAGCACTCAGCTGTGATTTGCTGTAGATCCCTTGATTAAAGGTGCTGATATATGTATTGTGTGTATTGACAGGGATTTATTGTAGCTGTGCTGTATTGTTACGCCAATAAAGAGGTCTGTTATTAACTTTGAGCATTCTACACACAGCCACAAATCCTGTTGTGTGTGTACAGCAAGTGCAGATGAGTGTTCTCTTTGTTTCTGCACAGGTGAGAACAGAGTTGAAGAGAACATTGCACAGTTGGAGGACTGCAATCATGTGCTGTGGGCAGTGACTAGCCGTGGCTGACTCTCGAGTAGAAACATTTTCCATTGCTACGGCCCCTGAAGGCAACAGGTTCTCTCCTCATGAAGGGCCGTCCCGCTCTCTGGACAGTTCACAGACTTTCAGGTGTCAGAGTCAGCCACTCTCTCCACAACCACATCCTTCTAAAAACTGTGCATCTGCATCGCTAAATGATCACATTCTGGACGATAATAGAAGGCAGCAGTCGGGGGCCCTGCAGGTGCCTTTTCTTATGCACCTCCGGGACCCAGAGTTACTGCCACATGCTGTGAACGCGGACATTGAGTGACATTCTCTAATTAATGACACACAAAGGTAGTGGTACATTATGTATTTTACCGCTCTATGTGAGTGTCTCCATAGAAACAGATCCTATGGTTTTCATCATGTTAATTGTATGTTATACTGTAACATGTATATACCTACATTTTACAAACGCTGGTGAAAATACTTGTTACTTATTTTGTATTATTATGTATAACTTAATGTTTATGTTTTGTATTATTATATTTATGTTCATGTGTTAACTGTTCAAGCAGGGGCAGGGCTTCTGCTTGTTTTTGAGTATTGTTTGTTTAAACCGTATACATACAGTAAAATGTTCCTAAAGTATTTATCCTCCTATTTCCATGGAAAGTGGCCCTTATCTTCAAAAAGTTGGTATTTTAAATAAGATTAAAATTAGTAAGTCCAAGGTAAACATTATAATCAAATCATCAAAGCAAAGAAGTCATAGCTCCATAATGCAGAAAACCCTCTATGCTTCCAGGCATACACTGTAGTCCCTGCTCATTATGTTGGGAACTACATTACCCAGAAATACTTGCGAAAGTTCAGCCCCAAAGTGCGTCGGTGTCGTGACAACTCAGCGGCGGCGGCCGGAGCGGGAAAGAGGATTTGTTTATTATCTTTGAGTGAGGTTTGAGTCCTGTCCTGAAGTCTATGGTCCCAACAGAGACAGCTCTGTGTACTTTAATGTCCCGCTCTTTAAATACGTATCAGAAATGTTTGTAAGAAATGTAAATCTAGCGGACAGTAAAGCGGAGACTTTTACCTTTCCCTGAGTCTGAGTCAACATCCACAGGTGGATTCACAACAGCATCTTTCAACAATGGCTTCCAAAGGTACAGCCTCTTTACAGTCATACATTGTTGAATTATTGACACCAGAGATGAACGGATCTTTTGCAGTCTGGCAGCATCCCTATGTCAACATATTTAAACATTATAAGGTTGAAGAGTGGAAGAAAACAACTAAAGAGGGTGACGTCACTACGTTCATGGTACTGTATACTGTTGTTCATGATGGTATTCACAATCCCCTGGACATTCATGTTATTTTTTGTAATAAATGCAGGACAAAACTCTGAAATGCCCAGTGTTCAGGATCAAGGGCCCCATTCCTGCCAACAGCTACATTCTACTGCCCAAAAGCAGAAGCCAGAGCCTTGGGTTGACTGGAAAGTACTTCTACCTGCTTTTCCGGCCTGCCCCCTACAAATATTTTGTCGTCCACTTAGATATTGTTGCAGAGGTACTTTTCCTTCTATTGTTTTTGCCTTCAAACAGCCTGAGCCTTCACCAAACCCCAACCTTGAACACACAGGGAGGTCTCAATTCTCTCGTTTACACACACAAAGGCACACGTCTGAGCAGATAGTTTGTATGAATTGTCTATGATCTCTAATTTACAGCCGTTTTAACTTTTTACACGGAGCTTTGCCAGAAAGTGTAAATTGAAACCTAGGTGCATTCTGTTTGGAGCGACTTGAAGCAGATGGCGCATTGGTCTTTCCAAGCTCTAATTTTATTGTCATTTTGTAGAGACGTGACAATCTAAGGTTCAAGGTTTATTTTATTAAGGTCAATGTGCAGTTGCATTAAAAAGATGGCTGCACCAGATTTAGCTCCAGCTACTCTCCATCTGTAGTCCTTCACAATACAGTCATATAACTTGCATATTAAGATACAGTTAAAATAACAAGTGCAGGTGACTAAATTACATATTCAGATATAGTTCAATAGAAGTGCAAGTTACTAAAATACATATTCAAATGCAGTTGAATAGAAGTGTGGCTGAAAGGTACACTCAAGGTACCACATTAACAGACTTGGAGAAAAGACAGGGAAAACCTCATAATTGTTTGGTTTGGCTCGTAGGAGGGCCAGGTGGTGCGCATCTCATTCTCAAACATGTTCAAAGAGTTCAAGTCAACTTCTACCTGGCTCCAGTTTCCGTTCCTTTGTGGAGCCGCAAAGGATTCCGTTTATGAGAACACCGCTAAAGCCGCCAGACGAGGTAAAGCGCAACGAGTCCAGTTAGAATTGCCGTGCGAAAACGACAGTCTTGTACTTTCTGTGTCAGGTTTAACCGGTCCCGCCCCGTCTTCCGTGCGCTGGACCTGCCTCATGCTGGATCTTCAGTCCGTACTTTCCACATACTTGAACCGCAGCTACAATCACCTTCAGACCATTAAACTCTGTGCTAACATGACTGTGAAAAACATATTCACCAGCGACCTCCTGTTTAATCCTGGTAATTTTCTGTTTTCTCAGAGAATGTTCCCAATTGCCAGTTGTGTGTGTGTGTTGTAAAGTGCAGGTAAATGTGTTGTGACTTTGGCAGGTGTGTCGTTCAGCGAAGCCAGACTCATGGGACTGTCCTCGTCTCGGGGGACCGGTCCTGACCCCAGGGACATGGCCTTTCCTGTGCCCAGAGGAAGTTCCTGGCATGACCTTTACGACTACATCAGGTACATTTGGGAGAAGCTTTCACCTGCTCCAGGCTCATTCACTGGGAAGAAAAACACAACCATAACTGTTCGTAAAAGTAATGTTTGAAGGCTTTGTTTTCTCCAGGTTCCCGTCAGAAGGCGTGAAGTTACCGTTTGACTCGATTCAAAAAGAAGAACACGCACACACCGGTGAGTAACGGCCGAGATCGGTGATAATGGAATTGGTTTCTGTAAAAATAATGTTGCGTCATCTTCCAGTTGACCTCATGTGCTTTGTTGTTATGACCGATTAATATTCAATGTGAGCTGAATGACCTCTTGACATTGAATATTTTAGTATGTAGGAACTGGACTTTTCACAAACCGTAGTCACCATAGTTACGTGTTATATTTTGAAGGATTGTGTAACTATATGTAAAAGTGTTTTGAATTTAAAGTGAAATGGCTACTTCCTCTTTTGGTGTCATTGCAGGGGCCGCCTCTAACCCCCACTGTCCAGTCAGAGAAAGACCTCCCTCCGCTTCCCTCTGCAAACCAGTTCAGGATGGTGTTTCTCTAATACAACACATTACTTCTCCCAAACCAGTAAGGATAATCGATACATCCGTACCTTTAGGGCAAAATAAACACACGCCTGGCATATAATGATTTTGACTTGTGGAGCACGTTCTTCAATTGTGCGTCTCTGTTGGTGCTCACTGCTGTACTCACTTTACTTGTCTGTCCACGGCCTGAACACGTGGACTTTAAAGCTCTGTCGTCTCCAGAGACCAGTGCAGCTGGTGTGAGTCACTCTGCGTTAGAGGACTCTTGGCCACGTATTCAGGCAGCTGCGGCCTCTGACGACCAGGTTTTTTAAGTTGGCACACGACAACTTCAGCGGTGAATGAACTGTAGTAAACAGGGACACACTCAGAGGTTGTGGTCTGTTGGGTCATATGGCTTCCAGTGGAAACGTTTAGTGGCGTGAAACCCCTGTGACAGTCGAATTTTACGATTTACTGTCAGGGTCACTAGAGTATGCAGTCAGTGTGACGGAGACAGTCCAAAGAAGTTTGTCTTTAGCACTTTCTGGCAGGACCAAGTCAATGTCAGTGTACGCCAGGCATTATTGATCTGTCTGATTAAAATGTAAGGAGACAAATACTGTATGTGTTGATTATTCAAGTGAAATAGATACATTTCATGAGGTTTTTCTACTACTTCCCCAGTTTCCCAGAGAGCAGTTTCTTGTGGTCCCTGACATTCCGTCTCTTCCTGTGGTGTCTTCTCACCTGGACATGTTCCCTGACAGTAATGATGACCTGCTTCAAAAAGAGTCCCCATTTCCTGCTCCCTGTCGTTCTGAGGATGGGAGCCCTGTGTTACTGCCGTCTGATGATCTCTCTGAAACGCAGCATGAAAGGGAAGAGGTAAAGCTCCTCAGGAAATAACATTGAAAGCTGTCCTATTTAAACACACTACAGAGCCACACCTGCCTGTCAAAGCGGCCTGACGCAAACACCTTTTTTCTTTTTAGATGTGTACGACTAACCCTCGAACACTGGCAGAAAGCAAACAGCAGGTAAGATATATCAAGCTGACAGTTTCTTTAGTGAGACTGTGGTTCATTTTAAAAGAAAATGTGTTGACTAGAAGCTGGCTCCCGATCCGATTCTCCGACTCCGACAAATTATAGGTTTTGGAGGTGCCACAAACAAACATGTAAGCACTTAAAATAGAGGAAAAAGAAACGAACAAGAGTTGCCATGAATGAATCCCACTTTCTTTAGGCACTTTGGACCAAATCCAGTGATGAGGTGGTGTATCCGTGCCACGCCGTCATCGTCTCTATGAACGTTACTTCAAAGAGGCAGAGGTTCTTTATCGGTCACACTGACAAGGTTTTTCTTTTCATTATGTCAAATATAGATCCAAGACTTTGTACCAACCTGTGTGTGTGTGTTATTTTGTCCATATTATTTTCATTTTCCCTTCATCTCCCTTCTGCTTCGTAGGTGTCTGCTCTCGATGTCAACGCCAGCTCGACCCTTCTGGCCTCGGCTCAAAGCGGCGAGCACAGCGTTGTCCGGATATGGGATTTCCAAAGAGGAGACTGCCTTTCTACGATAAGGAATCATGCTCATTCTTTGTCCTCGCTCAGGTATCTGGTCACACTCAAGGTTCAAGGTTTTAATTGCACCCATGGGTTTATTCTTTTTGCAGTGAAAAAGAGAGAGACTTCTACACAAAAATATTCATAAAAATCACATTTACACAAATAACAATAAAAACCCAACAGATAAGTAAAGAAAAGAAGGTAAAAGTGGTCGAAAGGTGCTTAGTCAGGACTAACTACAGCCTGTTCATAAAGGTGACTGCAGTGGGAACACAACTGTTGTGACATTTTGAACAGAAACCACATGCTCTATATCAGGCATGTTGAACTCCGGCCCTCGGGGCAAATCCGGCCTACAATACAATTGTTATTTTTATTTAATTAGTATTATTGTTGTTATTATTTTTTAGTTTATTTAATATGGACACAACAAAAACATTGGACGGACCAGATGCATTGCTGTATGTGTCAAAGCACATTAGGACACAGGGCTTTTACATTACAGAAGATAAACGACATTTCAATTTACAGGTGAGAACAACTCTGTCTGGATCTTAACCACTGTTTGATCTCTCTGCTGAAGATGTTGGTCTGTAGTTTTAGGGCTTTGGGCTGTGAGCTTTGGGACACACAGTTTAACTTCATACTTGTTCAGTTTTGGTTAAAGTAGCAATATTTACATGTCTAGTCATCATTAAAGGGCCCTGATCTGTCTAAAACATGCTCTTTTCCCATACTTAACAGTAGTTCAGAGATATTTGAATTTCAAAATTAGTTTTACAGCCCCTAAATCTTGTTATTTTGATGTCCCGCCCTCCACCGTTTTACCATTCAGAAAGTCTGATCCAGGTTGCCAGAACTCGCCACATCGAGCTAATCTGGTAAAGTACCATGTGGCCGCAGAACTAAAAAAGGTCTCGTTATGATTCTCAAATCATTCATGACAACCCAAGGAATAAACAATGATTTCTATCTTTGTGAAAAAGGTGTTGGTTATAGATTTGTGGTTGACAAAACTCTGGTCCCAGCTGGATTCGTCTGCATATCTGGCAACCTGAGTCAGGGAGAATGCAGTACCACCAGAACATAATAGTGAAACTCGTGTCACATAAAAGTCATCATGTAAAAACCAATGATAAGAAAAGGAAATTCCCTTCTATTCTTTCAGCCCCGAATGATGACATCTCATGCTCTCTATAACACCATGTCTGTTATTGTGGCAGTTTCTCGTTCAAAGGAGGCGTTCTGTGCGGCGTTGGCAAAGACCGTCATTGTAAAACGGTGAGTGCCGTGAGTTTGAGTAAGAGCTTGAGACTCAAATCCTTCCCTTCCTGCTGTATCCCAGTTATCGATCGAAGCAACGGTATTTTGTCTATAAATCTGTCCTTTATGAGCTTCCTGGATTTTCAGTTATTCACGCTCGCTCTTTAATTTGGATATCAAGAGCACATAAGTATTGACCACAGCAGAAAAGCCTCATCGATCTTTAATTTGGCCCGCTCAATGTAAGGTTACTGGATGGCATTTTCCTACCATCGATTGTCCTCACATTATTAATATTTGAGATAAATGATCAGTTTTATATCTGATATTAGTGGCCATACCTGCATGCTTAAGTCAGTTCCTGTCAGACCTCTGAAGCTGTGCAGGGTAGAGCCTGGTTAGTACTGTGATGGGCGACCTTTGGGAACACTAGGTGCCACAGTGGGGCGGCTGCGCCTATAAAGTGGCAAAATGTCATTGTGTCCATAGGCAAGACACTTCACCCACATTAGAATGACTGGTGTGTCTCTCTTCTGTCAGTGTGCCCCAGGGCATCTGTGGCTACAGTAGTAGTTTATCACCAGCGTGTATGGAGTGAAAGATCTGTCTTTAATATTATTGGGTTTACATCTAAACTAAGCCATCTAAGCCACTTTCAGATTTTCATTACAACAGAACGTTGTCGCTAACAGCAGGCCCGTCCCAAGGGGGGTGCGAGGCCCTGTGCGAATTTGAAATGCGAGGCCCTGCCCTGACACTTTTTTCCCAGATTTGAGGAAAGTTTTCCCTGTTATAATCTTTGACATGAATTCAGCACCGCCTCGCGCTGTGCGTGAAGAGAAACAGCACGTGCCGTGCACAGCCGCTTGTCCTCGCTCCAATGCAGCGTCGGACGCACGCGCATGTAAACGTACACACACAAACACTGTTACGGCTCTTGGCAACTTCTATTCGTACTCCCTTATGGAGCCTTCTTTTGTCTATTAAATTTACCTGTTAAACTCAAATAAATTGTAAATTCTTATTTAGTGGACTGTGAGCTGGATGACCCTTCATTTAAGAATGAACTACTCATGGCTCACACACAAACCAACCCAAAATAAATATCATCATTCCTTGCTTTATTGTTCAACACACTTTTATCATCACCGTGTGTGGAATGATTGGAACAAAATCTGAACCCTGAACATTGTAAAGCGCTTTGGGTGACCTTGGTCTGTATAAATGCGCTATATAGATAAACATTACTTACTTACTTACTTATTTTGAGCGGCCAACTAATAGAATATACGCTCTTTTTCATCACAACGTAGTCCCTATTTACAATTAGAATACTTATTTACACACGTAGAAAACATATCACATTGCAGCAAAATCATAGAGTCACTTTTCTCGCCTTCTTGGCCGCAAACTCGGCAATCAGGTCTTTATAATCCAATTTGGATGCAATTTTCTTTTTCAATAGAAAGAAGAGCAAGCCCGCACAGTCTGTCCTGTGACATCGAGGTGCGTAAATAGTTTTTAATTAATTTAAGCTTTGAAAAGCTTCGCTCCCCTGATGCCACCGTTACTGGGATAGTCAACAGGACCCTGAGCGCAATCTCGCAATTTGGGAACGTTCCTTCAATGGATTTAAGGTACCGAAGTGTTTTAAGGGCTGTAGTTGTTCCCTTTGGGATCATCTCTCGAAGTATCCTCAACTCCACGAAGAGGTCCAGTGCGTTCAAATCCTGTTGAGATTCTGACACGTTCAGAGCATTACTAAGTGTTGCACACTGTCGTCGCAGGTCAATGTCCTCCACTTCACGCAGTTTCGAGAGATCAAAAAGAAAACCAAACAAGTTGCCAAACTCTTGTAGCTGTTTAAAACGAGAATGGAGAGCAGTGAGGGCCTGGTCCACTATCACATTAAAATAGTCTGTTATGTACACCTGCTCTGGGTTCATTTCATTTCCATCACGTTTCACTCGTCTTATCGTTTTTATTTCAGGTTCAGTGTCCATATCGACAGCAATCTCTGTTGCAGTAGCTTTTGCAGATGCAAATCCAGTGTCTCTGTATTTTTGCATGAAGTCAATTAATCCATTGAGTTGCGATAATGCCAGGTCAAGCTGCATATCCTTTGCCTGGAGTGTCTTGCTCACGGTGTTCACGGCGAATAAAATATCATACCATATTATTGTAGACAGGATAAATTCAAAGCTTAGCATTTCATTAGCCAGCGAATTGGCTTCACTTTTAATTCTGGGGTCATTACAGTTCTCTGACAGTTCAAGCAAAGCTTCCCGAATATCACGTGTCTGATAGCGTACTGCTTTAACACTGTCTACGCGACATTCCCACCTTGTTTCAGACATAGATTTAAGTGTGAGATAAAGCACTTTTGCTTTAAGTATTTCCCACCGCTTGGGAGAGCCTGCAAAAATCGTGTAAAGACGCTGTACAATGCCAAAAAAAGACATTGCTTTTGGACAACTCTTCGCCATGTCTCCCAGGGTTAAATTCAGGCTGTGGCAACCGCATGGCATGAAGTAAGCGCGGGGATTGAGATGCAGAATGTGGGCTTGAACCCCCTGATTTTGTCCTTTCATATTCGCCCCGTTGTCGTATCCTTGGCCCCGACAGTCATCTATGCTCAATCCAAGAGACTGTAGTTCTGCCAAGAGCGCATTCGATAGTGCCTTTCCAGTTTGTTCATTTACTGGGATGAAGTCAATGAAATGTTCTTCTACGTTCACTTCTAATGAAGACATATTTACAAAACGAAGAATGAGTGACATTTGCTCCTGATGGCTCATATCTGGCGTACAATCAAGAAGTACAGAGTAATATTTTTCTCGCTTCGTTAGATTGACAATAGAGTTTTTGACGTTGGCTGCCATAAGCGAAATTAACTCATTTTGGATCCGAGGTCCTAAATAATGTGCATGAGTTCCCTTATCTCTAATGCGTCTGACATGTTCCTGCATGGTTGGATCAAATTTGGCAATCATCTCTATTAATCCCAAAAAGTTACCATTGTTCTCTTCATAAATCTTTGAATTTGTACCTCGAAATGCCAAATTATTCTCCGCCAAATACTGCACAGCCGCTAAAATACGTGTCAAAACGTCGTGCCAGTGTGCCTTTTCTCTGTTTATAGCTCTCTGGTGTGACTCGTCAATCGTTGTTTGTGTGTTTAATCTTAGCCTCGTCTCCATCCATTTAGCTGCATGTGTGATGTGATCTGTGCTCGTTTCGTGTTCTTTCAGCTGAGTACCCAAATGTCTCCAATCATTACTGCCTCCATTGGCTAATTTGGACCGACTTGTGAAGTGAAACAATTTACAACAAAATACAGAGTCAGATTTTTTTGAATAAACAAGCCAGTCTCTTTGAGCCCTTTCCCCATTTGGCAATCTTCGTACAAAGAACTCATCAGAAAAGTGTCTTTTGTCTTGATTTACGGGAAATTCAAACTCACAGATCTTGACAGGCCCTTTTTCCACAAGTAAATCGATTATTTGAGAACTCAAATGCACGGGCCAATTACTGGGATCATTCACATTCAGGTCCGTCTGGGATACTTCACTGTGAGTGTGACTGTCAGAACAATATTCATCCGATAGTGGGTCCCCATCCTCCTCCTCTTCCACGGAAAATTCTGCTAAAATGTAATAGAAAAAAAGAAGACTGATCGTATGGCCCAGTTTAAAATGAAATACTATTTACCACACAGCTACTTATATTCCTCACCTTGATTATCATCCTCTACCTCCAGGTTCCCTTTGGGATCTGTCACAGTGTCTGTGATGATGCTAGCTCTTGCCGCCACCACGGCATTACCATACCCTCTAGCTGTGGCTGTGGACACCTGTTCCGCCTCCACCGCAGAACTGATAATAAATTTATCCAGTGACCCCCTTAGCGTCCTATTAAATTCTCCCTTCCTTTTCTGTTTTTTTCTTTTGTCGCAACCCGATACGTGTTTGCGAAATCGGTCGCGGTCTCTTGCAGCTGACATCGTTCGTCCTGTGGCAAAATGGCATACGAGTCTTCTTCTGTTGTTTGAAACGCGCGAAAATGACTGAAGCGTAGTCATAATTTTTTGTACTGTACATTATATATATTTTGCCTAATTATATGTTTTGTGTGGCTTTTACAGAGACAAAATCACAGTTAACAGTTAGTGTATTTATTAGTGTATTCATTTAAAAAAAAAAAAAAAAAAGGAAGGAAGATAGCGAGGCCCTGTGCGGTGCGAGGCCCTGTGCGATGGCACAGGTCGCACCCCCCTTGGGACGGGCCTGGCTAACAGGATATGAACCTGTGTCTGAAAAACCTGTGAATGCTCTCAAGATAATGATTCAGGTCAAGTACAACACTTTTCCTTTTTGTTTAGGAAGGGTTTTAAGAGGGTTGCACTTGCATGTACTTAAATGTTGGGGATTGTACTGTAGCCACTGTTCCATCAGCCGGTGATGATGCTTTTCTTGCTAGTTTTTAATATTTCTTTGTACGACTCTCCCGTTGTAGCTGGTGGTGGCGTGGAGCACGGTGAAGGTGCAGAAGGAGAGGGTCGTGACGGTGATGGCGAAGGCTCACAGCGACGTCCCCATTAACACATTTAAAGTGTCCTTCTTTGATGAAACCAGGTATTTGAACGTTTTAATGCCATCTCTATTCAAAAGCAAACAGTGTTTTACTTTCTGACTTTACTTCATACATGAATCCAACAAACATGAAAATGACATGATTTTTATGATAGATCTGCCCATACCTTTTTGAATCATGCTGCTAACAAACAAACCCTGGTCATGACATTATAATTACAATATCACTTAGATTAGTGACATTTGTAAGTGTGTGTTTTTTACTGCTGATCGTGTAGCCAATAAAGATCAATATGACAGTGATTCTCAAAGCTAAAAAAAGGCGTGTTATTTGAAGGCCACATTAGCATACTGAAAACTCCAATGGCACCTTTGGCAATTAATAGAGTGAGAGCGGCGGCTGTCCCATATGTAGCTACTCCTGCTGTGCTCTTCGTCTCAAAGGCTAATTCAGATTTGTTCGGGGAAGATGCTCTGCGCGGTCATGTTCTTGTCTAAATGAAGTCTGTGTCGTGTTTGTGTTTTGTGTGTGATTGTAGAATGGTGTCGTGTGGTCGTGGCAGTGTGCGTCTGTGGCGGATGCGTAATGACACGCTCCGATCGTGCCCTGTCAATTTGGGTGAATACCATTCAGAAGATTTCACAGATGTTTCCTTTGAAGAGGGAGGCTCTTCCTGCCAGCTCAAAGAGGATCGAACTCTGTGAGCGAAAGACTTTAAGAAGAACATGGGAGCACGAGCAGATGTTCTAATGATATCGATCTTGTAGATACGCAAGCAGTCGCAGTGGATATATATTTGAGATTGACTACAGTAGAGTTGAAATCAAAACAGTGCGAAAACTGCAGCCTACTCAAGAGCAGCATGAAGGCCACAGGGATAAGTGGACCTTCAAAACGGGTTTGGCTAATGATGATTACGCTATTTACAGGAAAATTTACTTGGACTGAGGTGTGTTTCCTCCAGGTCCAGGCATCTCAATCAACAGCATCTGTGTGTGCACCTCATTCTGTGCCACAGGCTCCGAGGACGGCTTCCTACGGCTCTGGCCTCTTGATTTTTCCTCTGTTTTTCTCGAAGCTGGTATGCTCATATATTCAAGCTTATATATATATATATATATATCTGTATGTAGATATGTTATATCTATATATAGATATCTAATATATCTATATTATATATCTACAATTTACATATATATAATGACATATTCCCCTTAGTGCTGGTAGAATGATGTTTTTGTCTTTCTTAGAGCACGAGGGCCCTGTCAGTTCTGTGTCAGTGTCCTCCGATGGCCTCCAGGTTTTGGCAGCTACGTCCAATGGGATCCTGGGGTATTTGGACGTAAGCACCCGTTGTTATAACACGCTGATGAGGTCCCACACAGACAGTGTCTTGGGCTTCAGTCTGGATGGTGTTAGTAGATATTTGACTACCGCCTCCTCGGATGGCACTGTGCGGATCTGGAATCTGGATTCTTTGCATCAGGTACACCCCTGATGCTGTTGACATTTATGTAAATGGCAGTACCCATTTCTCAAGTCTGTGTGGTATTCTGTGCTCAGCTGTATGACTTTGTGTCTGAGGACTGCCCCTGTGCTGTGGCCTTTCATCCCAGTGAACAGGTTTTCTCCTGTGGCTTCATCTCTGGCATCATCAGAGTCTTTGACATTCCCAAAGCAAAGCTCTTGGCAGAACATAAGTACAGACTATAGTTTTTAGATATATACATGTATAATACTGTACATAATATTGATATGGTTTTCGTCTTCATCTGAAGGCATTACAAAGGTGCAGTTGTTGGCCTGGTGTTCTCCCCGAATGGAAGGTTCCTGTACAGTGCTGGTTCTGAGGGCTCGCTGGTACAGTACGCTGCTAATAAAGACCACTCTGCAGTTCGAGTTATGTGTAAGTTTTCTCATTAACAATTATGCACAGTGGTCAGCCCGCCCCCAAGGACCAGTGGCT